TACACCAAAGCTTTCTAAAGAATTTTGAAAAGTATTTTTTAAACTTACATGTCAAGGCTGTTTTGGCTTTACTTTCCGTAGCATGGTTAACAAAAAAAAATCACAGATAGACTCTCGTAACTTAAACTGCTTAAAACAAATGTTATAAGGGGAGTGATTTTTTTTTAACATTTGTTCTTAAAAGAATGAGAAAGATGAATTTTGCCTTTAAATTCAAACCTACAGAGGCAAAATTATTTTATAAGAGATTAATTGTGTCCTAGCTGCTGACTGAAACTAAATCAAAACAAAAGCAAACTTATTACACTTTGGTTGTGTGATACCCTTGTGTATTTGATGTTTTATGCAACAAAAGTGTAAGTAGTTAAGATAATGAGTTGGAAAGGAAAAGTCTCATGAAAGGCAAAACAGCAGTTTCTGATTTGCTGAAGAAAACAACCACTCTGTTAATAAAAGAGGGCAGCGGTTATAACTGATGTTAGAATTTTCTGTGTGGCTTCTACTTGTTAGGAGATAAACTATTGTCTTTCAATGAAGAAAATTCTCTCTCTCTAGGAAGCTATTTATTCTGTTCTTTCCTAAGCAATATAAATTACTTTTGTCTCAACACCTTAAACGATCTCTTAACGTTCCTGAAGATTTGATTGAGTTATATATAAGGAATAATCTGGTGTTTTAGTATACAACTTAACAAAATAAAGGACTACTACAGCTTTAAGTTGGGTGAAGACATTCAGACATTTAAACACGGAAAATCCTCACGGAGTCTTAACTGTTTGCCCTGTTTTAACCGTATGTGGTCTAATTAAAAATAAATTAAGAATAACTCTAAAAAGCAAATAATTTTGTTTCGTAATCACCAGCTCATAAAGTCCCTTTAACATTAAAGACAATGATTGCCTCACTTTTAGACAGGAAAAGAAAACTAGATGCATGTCTGAGTCTCATGTGCCTGAGAAAACTTTTTTGTTTCTTTTAATTTTATGTTAGTAATATTTTATTTTACTCCATTGCCTTTTGAAGTCTAAGTTTAATAGCATGCCAGGCATTTTCATTTGTATAAGCCATTATGATGTTATGAGTAGATTTTTAGTTTTTCTTACGATAGCATCGTTGTCAGTTGGCTTCCATATAGAAGGATGCTTTCAAATACACTAGTTGAAGGGTGGGGATGGAAGAGGGGTGGCGGCCGAGGGGTGGGGTGGAGGAAGACATCCTAGTTTCTTAATTAAATATATATGTTTATCTATGCATATAATATTGAAAAGAATTATTTGCAAATGGTGAGGTTATCTTCTACATTTGTTTCACTTAAATCAGTTGTTTTTGTGATTTGGGTGAGTAACATCTATTTGTTCTATTGTTTTACCTCTTCCTCTACCTAGCTAACTTTCCCTTCAAAAGGAATAGAAAATACATAACGAAAGACCGTGTAAAGACAATGAACATAAAAAGTAAAGATAGAAGGATGACTAGACAGGTGCATTAGGAAATACTTAGAATGCCTCTTTCTAGTTGTTTCTGTCATTTGGGAAGAGAGCTGGGTCACAGAATTCCCAAGTCTCCTTTCCGGCTCTGTCTACTATTGACTAATTTTCTGACCTTAGACAATTCACTTAACCTCTTTATATCTCAGATTTCCCATCTGAGGAGAGGAGAAATAATACTGCCTATTACCCAAGGGTGTTCTGAGGTTTAATTAATTAGTCTTTGTGCAACACTGACTGGAGACATGCAAAGATTTAATTTAAGCAGTATGTGAACTTGATGTCCAAATGAGGTAATAATTAATGACTTCCAAGAAGATGGGCACCTAAAAAAACAAAAAATAACCTACTATAAGTCCCATATTGGTGTTATAAACAAATTTTATATTATTGATGATAGAACAATTCTAAGGTTGGGATAAGCATATACACATATATTAATATATGTATATGTATGTGTGTGTGTGTACATATATATATAAAATAGTCACTTACTATAAAAACATGATTGATCATAAGTCACAAAGAGTGAAAACAATGAGAATAATGAGATCTGACATTGATTTTGAGATATCTTGGGCAAATGATAAAAAGAGAAACTTCGTCCAGTCAGTCCTTCACATTCTTTACAGGGAGAGGGTAGTGATGAGTATTTCTCACTTATTCACTAACTGCTGCTTAGCTGAGAGAGATGTATTAATTAGAGGAAAGGATGGCAAGGCTGAGAGTGTTCCACTGTTCCTTTAGTTACCGCTAGCTTTGCTATTAACCACCTAATCCAAGGTACAGAGGGGTAGGAGAGGTTTTTAACACTGAAGAAAAACAGATTTAGCCATAAATAGTCCCTGAAACAAACAAGCAAAAAAACCTCAACTACTTCAACTCCTTTTCCTGTCTCACCCCACCATTGTCTTTTTCTCAAGAAGTGATTAGTCAGATCTCTCTGCAAAAGCAATGATAACCAGGAGTGTATCCACAGCTTAATCTTATAGCCCAGGAAACATGCCTTTGCCTTTTCTGATGCTTGGGTCAGTCTTGAACAAAGAAAGAATACTTCATGGAGTGAACTATGACAGCTGGAATGAAGGTGATCCATTATTTCTAGCCAGTAAAATTCTGCCTTGCATTTCAATTTTCTCTCTCCCTCTTTTTATTTGTAATCATTGGCAGGATAACCACCAGAAAAATATCATTAGAACCATTATAGAGGTAATTATTGTAAAGTACATTCAAGAATTAGAATATAAGATTTTCTACCTGTAATGAAATACAACCATTAACTTATTACAAGTGCTGAGCTGTGTACACACACAAAAAAGAGATGGATAAATATTATGATTAGCCAACAGTTACATACATGAAAGATGTCACTTGTCATTAGGGCTATCTAGTATAAGATATTGAATTTGTATATCCTAGAAATCTCCTGTTAGGCAGCTTCTTCTAATTTATTATGGAAAGCTTCCCCAAATGCCTATGTGAAATTAAGGGAGTATTTATTCTCCCCTTCCATCATTCCATTTCTTTTGTAGTAAGCTTAGGGCTTCCAGAAAAAGTTGTTGTCAAAAACAAACGGTAAAGAGATTACTGAACTTCAAGCCATTACTCAGTGTTATTGTGCATTGAACTTTCTGCTACATCTGTGACGAGAGGACAGAGGTCAAAGAATAGACTGATTCATGCACACAGCACATTGATAGGGTTGGTGGGGAAATAATGGAAATCTATTAGATTTATTTTGATTGCACCCTTGAGATCTGGACAATTCTGTTATTATTAAGGCTGGCAGATCCCATTTCCATATTCCAGAGACTTCTTCTAAAGGGTAGATCATTTTTACTATAACTCTCTGGACAGTTACCATACTGCAATGTTTGAAGCCTCCAAAGGGATATTATTTATAAATGATTGTTGACTAGTAGGCCTTTAAGAGTTGCTCAATGAGAGGAGTTGACTCTTGTCTAAAGAGTGCCCTCTAAGCACATGCATTTTTTCTTCTCTGCCCCTTACATTTCTTCCATTATTATACATTGAGGAGGTATTCCACATTATACACCAAAAATTCAAGCATAGCTAATCACTCTATAGCCTTGAAGACCACGTATTAATAATGTAGTAGAGGTTAAGAGCCTAAACATCACATTATGTCATAATAGAGATTGAGGAGCAAGAATTTTAGTTTGTTAATAATATACTCCTTTTTATTAAGCCAGCAAAAATAAAATAAAAAAATTTCCAGTTATTTATAGCTAAAATAATTCAGGTGATTAAGAATGTCTAGAGCGTTGTTTGATCACTAACTGAAGTGGAGGAAATTCAGAAGGGATATATTTAATTCCACTAGGAAGTCTTTCCCTCAACCCTTTCTTCATACAGAAAAGCAGAACAAGTGAATCTAGAGAAATAACAGTAAAGAATGCCTTGGCATGTTGATGTCCTGATAAATTACAATGAATTTTGAAAATCTATTTGAGTTTTTCTGGGAAAGATCTAGCACCTGAAAGAGCCTTTTACAAGTAGAAATAGTTGGGAGTAACATTAGTTGAGTTCCACTATTCTAAACTCTATTCTGTTATGATTTTATTCTGATAGTTTTCTTTTCACTGAAGTATAAATGGTCCCCAAAGCGGAACTCAAAATAAGGTGAACTACTGATATTCTTCAACCCATCAACATACCTCTGGAACATTTTAAGGAGCTTTATATGTTGCTTTCTTAATTAATACCCATTCACTTTTTAGAGTTCATTGATTATGAATGACAACTTCCCCCCCCCAGGTTAGGACCATTATCAATACCTACTTATATTCCATATTTTAGGGAATAATTTGGTTGTATCTGTACCCCTGAAAAAAATTAATACAGATAGGAATTTATCTGCCATGATGTTGTTAAACAGAAAATATAGATAGAATGTTATGCACTAAGAAGATTTATAGGAAATGATGTGTTTGGTGATTAGGATGTTCATTTTTACAAGTATACCATGAATCCAAGTCTGTTTACTGGCATTTAATTGCAGTTAATTTAATTTAATTATCAGACGTAATTTTTAAATTTAATGTTCTGAGTCACCTCATTGAGTTTTTGTTGGCCATACATAACCCTTTTTAGTTCTCATTATGTTACTTTGTAGCTTTAAAATTAGTACAATAGGCACCTATGATTTACACTGCTCATTGCCTAGTTTAGGTGTTTCTTTCTGTCATCTACAACTACATACCCAAGAAGAATACAATATCTCTCATGGTTGAACCAAGATTTCTTCTTCTTCAGAATAAAGAAATAGAGACTTGATTATTTAGGTAATGTAGGATTTTCAGCTAGACAGTGGAAGAGATAATCATAGTGAAATGTTACTTGCCAACGTCTGTACTGAATTTTTGTTATCCATTTTGTCTCCTTTTCAATTGCTCAAGGAAGCCTGTTATGATACCTGGTCCATTCCGACCAGGTAAGTTAAAGAGAGAAAGTGTATGAGAATAATAATGTTTCCCCCACCCAACCCACTAGGCCGGCAGTTAACCATCTTCAACACTCAGGCGCAAATAGCCATCGGTGGAAAGGACAAAGGACGCCTCTTCCAAGGCCAACTCTCTGGGCTCTATTATGATGGTTTGAAAGTACTGAACATGGCGGCTGAGAACAACCCCAATATTAAAATCAATGGAAGTGTCCGGCTGGTGGGAGAAGTCCCATCAATTTTGGGAACAACACAGACGACCTCCATGCCACCAGAAATGTCTACCACTGTCATGGAAACCACTACTACAATGGCTACTACCACAACCCGTAAGAATCGCTCTACAGCCAGCATTCAGGTAAGCCTTTTTCCAAGCGTTAATTGCTTTTGTCTCTTTATCTTTGAAAGGTTGTTATCACGGTCAGTGTTCTATGTAGCCAAAGAGTTTGAATTATTGTATTTGTAAGAAGGATCCCTGCAGATGCTCATAGTAATAAGACCCAGGAGAAGAGAAAGGTGAAGTCATTGCTAAAGAAGTTGTATAAGTCTTATGGCACTCAGGGGTTATTATTCCTATCATATTTATCCCTGAAATGGTAAAGCTGTTATTCAAAATGAGCAATGGCCTACACATTCAGTAAGAAATACTCCCTCTTTTCATTTTATTACCCTTTCTTTTCAAATAGCAGAAAGGGAAAACGGGAAAAGAAAAATTTGTTATCATATGAAAGACTATATCCTAGTTCAATTCTATTCACATTCTCCAGATCGCTTTGCTAGAACATGAATCGTTCATTATTGAGCCCAATGGGTACCATTAAATCAAGGGCAATTGAAGCTAGAAGTTCAACTAATCCTTGTAAAATGCAGTCTTTGTGTTTGATATCAAGTCTTGATTATTGACTTGTGATTTTTTTTTGTCCATTTTGTTTTCTTTATATTTGACCAAGATACTAATTACATTAGAAAATTTGAAGGTTTGAGTTTGGCTATATAGGAAGTCCTTAGTTTTATGGTAAGGTTTTTGTTTTCCACTTGAAAGTAATTATATCCAAGCTAAAGCTTAGTACTCTGCTGACTCCCTTGGCATTTCATAAATCTAGTTAGTAGGGGGTAGGAGGTTAATTGAGTTATTAGCCTTAGATGCTCTGGCATAAAATAAGACATTCCAACTGCTTGTGGGGAAATTACCCCTAGCCTAGTTAGTGCTTGTAGAAAATTCAGTAGATTAGTACTTGTCCCTTCTATGTCTTAGTTTTAAGACATTATCCGGGAGCTCAATTGAATCTTTGACATCACACTTCCATTGACTCCAGTGGACATTGTAAACTTAAAGTCAATAATCAATTAAACCCCATAGATGTTCCCATTTTTCAGAATTAAGTTTATGTGAGTTAACTAGTGGTAAAAGTGTCATCTTCCTTTTTCCTTTTCTTTGAGCAGAAATATCCAGACAGATTCTTACATGACTCCATAGGAACAGTTTGAAGCTGTATGTGCTGATTATATTATCAGGCCAATTTTATGTGGTTTTGAAAGGCTACTAAAAACCTTGTTAGCATAGCACGCTTATAGTTGCACATCCTGTTACATGCAGACCTACACACATGCTCAAAAGAAAAAGAAAATAGCTCTTCTCTACTGATATTAAAGCAATAACTCCTGACACTATGCTCTACTCACTGAAAAGAAGATAAAAGGCAATATATATTTCTATTATGACTCTCTATAGCTCAAGAACAGATCTGTTTATTGTTGGTGAAAGGATAGTTCTGTCTGCACAGATCTTGGCAGACTTGTTTTGTTTCTGTCAGAACATATTCTACTGACTCTATGGGAAGCAGAAAAGCAAATGGCTTTTTCTTCTTAGGAATGGCTGGCCCTGCAGTCCTTTGTAAGGCCAAATTTTCATTGACCTCAGGAAAATTGAATGTTATATGTGGATTCAGGGGCTAAGCCACAGTAATGATCAGTTTTTGGCTTTCCCACCTGTAGGACATACATAAATGGGAGCAAACGGGGTAAGGTCCTAAACTCTTTCCACAAAGTCAGAGCCTCTGGAGAAAAGCAGGGTGCAAGGTGCATAAATCTTGCCAGTGATTATGATTTTAAATATTATAGAACCTATGGCCATTGTAGAGGCGGTGGACATCTGGGAAGGCCTTCTCCAACAGCCTCTCTCTCATGTGTGTTTCTTTTTTGTTGAGTACAGTAATAATTGGATTACATTTACATGTCTTCTACCAAGGCTATAAAAATGAGTTATTAATATAAACGTGTTGACACGCTTCGGTTTTGAGGGTGTGTTGATATATACTCTTGAAGGAAAGCCAACAACCTAGTAGAAATGATTAGACTGGGTTGGGGGATAAAAAAGGCTCACGTTCTTTGTAAAGACTAGCTAGAGAAAATAACTTCATGCCAAGGGTTTTGAACAGTTTTGTTCTTGCCAGCTAACCATAAGAACTCTGCCCTGTGCTCAATAAAAACTCAAAAACCTCATCTCCACGCCTACTCTGGTCTCAAGTACATTCTGTAGATCACATCAGACCTATGCCAAGCTTGGAGACCCAACAACTGTTGGGTTCTATTAAAGGTTTAGGATAATTCCCAGATTCTGGAGAATTTGAGTGAGGAAGGTCCATCCAGAAGTATTAATATACCTGTGTGATATTTTTGGATAAAGAAGATTCATAAAATTCCGATCTGTGGCAAATACTTCAGAAGGCAGATGGAGGGGAGTGGAGAAGTCTTGAGATTCATATTCACCAAGCACATCATTCACATTTTCATCTATATGTGAAATCATACATGCAACATTTTCCAGTTATACTGTTTGGTCCTTCTTTGCTTTGATAACACTGCTAAAGCAAAGTTGTCCTAAAATGAGACTCCTCTAGGGGAAGCAAAATAAGCATGTGAATCCAGAAATATAAAGATCTGGCTACTCCAAAATCCACTAGTTCATTCTTAAAGTAAAAACTAAGAAAACATCCTTTAAGGAGTTCTTTTCTGGTGGACCTTGGTTAGTGCTGATTTCAGATCAAAGGAAAACTGTGAAGTGCTTTGTTTCAGTGCTGCTCTTGCCAGTGTGTAAATGTGAACAAGTAGTTTTTGAGTTGATATGGCTTGCCAGTGTGTAGCCTCCTGGAAGTAATTGGTGCTTTGATCTCTCTGATATTCCAATTTGTTACAGATATGAGTGTAGAATTACTTATGAATGACCTGGACTATGTTAAATTATTCATAGCTATCATGCCTAAGCATCATGTCTTGATCCTATATTAAGGGGGACATCTCTAGGTGTTCCCTTAAAGACAATGTTAATATATGCACAGAGAAAGCAAATGGGTAGGTGATAATTCTCAAGTAAAGATCTGGAACTTAGTAGGTTCTCAATAAATATTTATTAAATACATAAAAAACAAGACAGGTCTTATTATCTATCTTAAAGTCATTTAACAACTGGCAGGGGCATAGCTTGGGGAAAAATTTTCCTCCAGAATGATCAAGGTACTTTGGACAATTTTATTTTATTTTTTCAGTGGTAATGCTATAGCTTAGTGATTCAATGCATACACTTGGAGCTAGACTAGCTGGGGGTTTAAAACCTAGTTCATCCTCATATTAGCTAAGTGGCCCTGGACAAGTCACATACGTTTCTAGTTAACTATTGCTGTGAAACAAACTTCCCCATAATTTGGTGGCTTAAAACTATGACTATGTCATTAGATCTCACAATTTTGTGGGTCAGAAATATGGGCAGGGTTCGGTAAGGCAATTCTTCTGCCCCACATAGAGTTGACTGGGCTCACTAGGTGGCTGCTTTTGTCTGGAGTGTCTGGCTTTATTAACACATCTTGTGCCTTGGTGGGTTAACTGGAAAGACTGAACTCAACTGGGCTCTTTTTCCTCTCCATGGAGTCTCAAGGACTGTCCTTGTGGTCTCCCCAGCAGACTAGTGAGCCTCTGTTCATGGAGGCTCAGGGCTCCCAAAGACAGGAAATAGAGGGTACCAGCTTTTTATAGCCTGGGCCAGAAAACTGGCACGTGTCACTTGTACCATACTCTATTGGTTTAAACAGTCACAGAGCTTTTCTGGTTTCAGGGGAGGAGATGTAAATATCACTTCTCAAGGGGAGGAGTAGCAGGAATTTGCAACCAACCTAAGTATACCACATTGTAAAATAGGTACTGACTCTGTTAAATAACTATTATAAGGACAATTGAGTTAATATAAGCAAAATACTTTAAGCAAGTATACCACACAGAGTAAGATTATACATGTTTTGACCATTATTCTTATATTCTATCCCCAACAATTGGTGTGTAAGTCAACACCCTCTCAAGCAAAGATCTGCCTCAGAAAATGGGACTGCTTCTTTGGACACTAGTGGCTATAGTTTTAGAGTGGGACCAGGAAAGTTTGAGGGAAATAGAGATTTTAGGGTGAATCATGGTAGAATGTAGAGGCTGAAATTAGTCCTAGCAAATCAAAAATGTCTATGATCTCAGGAACAGACTTCTCTGACACCTCACTACCCGTTTTAAATTTTCTCTCCTGTTTTTAAACCAACTGAGAGTTCTATGGACTTAGGAAAATATGTTCTGTTATGAAATATATCTATCCACACATTTTTTTAGGGTTACAAAGAAGTGGAATCCAGGTTCCTTGCTGTTATGGCACTGAAAATCTAAAGAGGGCGACAGGGCTTTTCGTTAGTTATCAATGTGAGGCAGTGACTTTTGAATGGTTTTGTGTGTTGGGGGTGAGAAGGGATATGGGGTGGTTTGGCCAGATTGTACAGAGGAGGTAGGTATGGGAACTGGGCCTTATAGAACAAGTACAATTGACAGGTGCTGGGAGGAACGTATTCCAGCTTGGTTGAATGCCAGAAGCTAAGTCATAAAAGGCAGAGATGATAATTTTTGGGGGAGATAGCCAGGTCTAAGTGGAACAGAGAATGCATGGAGGTGATTTGTCAGAAACAAGGGATCCGGACTCTGAGAATCTTGGCCTGAAACCCCAAGTGGGAGAGAACACAGAGCAGTGAGCTGGACTGGGCTCCCTGTAGAGCTCACTTTCGGGGAGGCTCCAGCAACTTCCCAGGCACTTCCACCACAGCCGACTCTGATACTGGTGGGTGGGAAGTATCATGACACCTATAGGTCAGCTTCTAAAATGGAACTCAGTCTACACTCAAAAAAGTGAGAAATAAGAATCCTAGGCCTCCAGCCTGAGCTGTTATCGGCAAAAGAAAAAAAAAAAAAAAAAAAGAAAGAGAGAGAGAGAACTCAGTGTGTTCTGTGCAAATCACCATTTGGAATCATTTATAATGTATTAGCAAGGTACTGATC